TTACTGGCCCTTGTAAAGGATGGATCAATGCTTCGAGAAGCAAACAAATTTACTAGGAAAGAAAGTTGCATCAATTTTTATTTTTTCCAATTTCATTTTTTTATTTTTTTTAATTTTTTGTATTTTACATGGCACGCTTTGATTTAGAAGAAAAAATTCAGAACAGTTTTTGACACTTTCGATACCAGAAGCAACAACAAAATACACGCAAATGTTGTTTTTGCTCTACTGATACTACCTGTTTAATGTGCCTTGCTACTACGTTATTTGATTAAAAATATACAATATATATGCACATACATATGTACATACATATGTATGTATTTATTTCAGCGAACGCCTTTGCTGCAATAAGGTAATGAATAAAGTTTTGAAAACTAGTCAATGTTAAAGAAATGTGTATAGTTTATTTGTTAAACGAAAATGGGTATAATATTCCAGATTAAATATTTAAGGAAAGAAAATATAAAATTAACAAAAGAATGATTTTCAAAAAAAATAATTATGTATGTATACGCCAACCATTTATTGAAAAGTTTTGCAATGCAAGATTTAAACGTTTTACAATATGAAATATTCTACAAACTTTCATAAAAATTTCTAGCTTTTTCATTAGATTTGGTTGGATATGCAGCTTACTAGCCCATTCAATTTTAATAGAATAAAGTGCAAGTTTGAAGTAGCACGAACATACAGTTGATATTTTGGAATTTATTGACGGTGTCAGTCATTTATTCCAAACGAAGTATGTTAACACGATTCTTTTTATATGGAGAAAATGACCAACAGCTTCAACAAAAAAAAATTACCAATATCAACGGTAAGTCTTGCTTTGCAAACTTGCACTTCATTGTACTAAAATTGAATGGGCTACAAAACTGCATACTTAAAACCATTCTAAGTAAACCAATAAAAGAGCTCTATATTTTTACGAAAAATTGTTAATTTTTTCTTAATATAGCTCAAAGTCTCAAGTTTGGATTTATATGATTTTTCTTAAAGAATAAACTATATTTTTATAAAAAGTAATTGAAATAAAATAATTTAAAAAAATGTATAGGCAAAACTTGTCAATATGTGAGTTGTTTATAATCGTGAAACATACATATACAGAATGTAAATTAAAATTTTTTTAATATACATACTTTTAACCAATGCTTGAATGTAGGAACATTATCCTGTTTATTGCGCTGTCATTACAACTAATACTGCAACGTTTCTCAGTGATAATATTTCGGGCGACGGAAAATGCTCTTTCAAAAGGAGCTGAGGTTGCCGGAGTTGCTAAAATTCGACAGCTCAGTTTATATAAAATTGGGAAATCATTTTTATGACCGTCCCACCAGTGCACAATATCGAAATCGTCATAAAATTCAACATCAGTGCTTTCTTACTTATGAATTTCTCTATAGATTTTATTTTCAATACTAAGCGTTTGTCTTGGTTGAACAAAATCTCTGAACAATAAACTATTTTCGGTAGAACATGACGGCGTGGAATCTGACTCAGTATGTAATGCATCTACAGTGAATTCTGCCATGAGCCGCTTACATTCATTTTTAGTACAAGTTTTGTCGATTTCGGAAAATAGTACATTTTCGCTGTTACTATTCATTGAGTATCTTATAACGCACTTGTGCTTGAATAAGTTTGAGGTTGATTTTTTGCAGTGCTTTAATACATTGAAACACGTTTTACTTTACTTTTCCCAGTACCCTTAGAAATTTTAAACTCGCCGCTAATAATTTTTTCTCTTATGACACTATTACTCAAACTACTACTAAAACTAACGTTTGTAGCAGGTGGATCGTTGGTAAATGACTGCAAACATTAATGCATTAAAATGATAGAAGCGAAATATGTATTTAATATTAATATTTACGTTGTCAAGCTCCATTATGCAAATTTATTAATTGTGCGCATGCGTTGCCAGTCAAGTCGCAAACGACCAAATACGACGAGGAATTTCGAATACACAAGCACCACAAGCACTTTCGATTACTGCAAGCAAGCGTGTAATATTCTCTGTACTCGTTGGCGTAGCGTCGTGTGCCTGTATTGCGCGATCGTGGCAAGTAGTGTACACAATTTGGCTCAACAGAAGAAGTATCACTAGCATTTGCACTTGCGATGAAGAGTAATGGCTTTGCGCGGAGAGATATAAGCATTCTACTTGGGAGCAGCGTTGCCATTTTAGCCGTTTTCCGGCTAGATTTAGCCGGTTTTGATAGCAACTAGCCGGAGAAAATTTGATCTAGCCGGCAGCCGATTTGTTAGCCGGTTTGTAAAAAAAAGTTAGCCGTTTTTAGCCGATTTTACTATTTGCCTAATTTTCAGGTGCAAAAAGTAAACAAGTTTTTCGAAAGCAATAATGCAGACCCAATGAAGATTTTTAATGAACCCAATTGGGGTGTTCACAGTTCGTTCCAAATAGTGTCTCAAAATGTAGACGTCTACATTTTAAGACGTTTTCCAACCGTAAAATCTGTGGTGTTGTTGTTTCCCATACAAAATTGGAAACGAGTATGTTTCTACATTTTGCAACCTCGCAGCAGGGTTGCATTATGGCAATACTAATCGCATTTTTTTATTTATTGGGCACGTTTTCTATATTTGCATTTAATTTGAGCGCAATTTCTGATGAAAAGAAACAAATCAAGGAAAAGAAATAACAAATATTAGGAATTGGTAATTAAGTTAAATAATTACAATTTTTCAGTAACAAAATCGAAAGGCGACATATAAAAAAGCACGCAAAGAAGAAATGTCTGGCAACACCGGCAAAGTTTTGAGACGATTTTGCGACGACTGCTAGAAAGGGGTGCTCACAGTTCGTTCCAAATTGTGTCTGAAAATGTAGACGTCTACATTTTCAGACACAATTTGGAACGAACTGTGAACACCCCAAATGTTTTACTTTCGCATCTATGCTGCCTAGTGGTTATTAGCGCGGACACATTTGATCCTATATGCTCCCCGTTGGAACCATACCTTGCTCCATTTCCTCAGTTTTATCACAGTTTTGAAGAGTATTTAAAAACAAAAGTAAGCACAAACGCTTTTGACCACGAAGCCGAGAAAATAATTCGAGAAAATGGTCGCTATTTTATTATCACTTTAATAAAGGAAATACGCCAACGCCTCCCTACAAATATTGCCAAACTAAAAAAAATGACTTTTTTCGGTTGGAAATGCATTAAGAGTAATTAAACCAAAAGTATTTGTTCAACTACAGCAACAAAAACACAAATATAATGCCGACAAAAAAACATCCATAGAGATGCAATGGCAACGGTTAACGTTACATACCTGGAGTAATTTAGACTCAACTGTAAAATTTTGGGCCGAAGTTTATCAATTTCGAAATGCCCTAGGAGAAAACCCTTTT